GGCCACTTTGAGCCCCGAGCCGGCCCTGCGGTGCCACAGAGGACAAGGCTCTGACTTTTTGAAGCAGGTGGCCACAGCCAGGGACCCCACAGCCCTGGCCCACACAGGAGGCCAGCCATGAAACACATGAGGCTCAACAGCGTTGCAGTTGTTTACTCTTGAAAAAATAATTCGATTCAGAAAGCAGCAAGCCCTGGAGATGCCCACGCACCTGGCCCTACCACGGCCACTGCACCGGAGCCTTGCTGGAGGAACGGAGAGCAGCACCCAGCTGGCCCATCACAGGGTGCAGAGAGGCGAGAGCTTGAAGCCCACGGGCCAAGCCCTGCTGTGGCTGAGAGCAGGGAGCCATGGCCCTCTGCTCACCGCACAGTAGGGAGGAGAGGGGAACTGCTCTTTGGCCCTTCCCCAGCCATGGGATCACCTTCCCAGCCCCAGGAGGAAGCCAAGCCTGAGCCCTGTCAGAGAAGAAGGGAAAGGGAGTGCATTTAGTTTCAGGGAGCAGGGAAACAAGGCCTTAGGAACAGAGATGCCAAGCAAAGGGCATCATGGTGGAGAGTTGTGGAAATCCTTCCAAAGCAGGGTATGAGGATCAAGCGGCTTTCCCCAGGGAGAAACTGAGTCCCTTTCCCATCGCACTGAAAGGACCTGCTTCACCCCTGAGGGCCAGCACAGAGGTCACCTGCCCACGGGCTGCCAGAGCAGAGCCCCAGCAAAGGGCAGTGCTGGGGGTGGCAGAGGAGGGCTGGGTTGAATGCAAGCCTGGTACTGCAGCCTCAAGGGTGCCACCCTGCACCCTCTTCTTCCCCTCCTACATCCATCTCATCCCTGCTGCTGGGACTGGCATGCAAGGGTCAGAGTCTCCATGGCCACACTAGAGCTGTGCTGTGTCTGCACAGGCTCATTTTGGCTACAGAGGAGCAGATTTCCCAGGTTCACAACTATTCCTAAGCTGGGCAAGGGAGGAAGGAGGGGGACAGTTGGTGACACCAGGGGGACAGAAGACAAACCTCCCACGACTGCCCCTGGGCAGGCTGGGGGCTGCCAGCTCTCCATGCTGCTTTCCAGCTACCTTCCCCTTCCCACAAGCAATAAATACATAAGTTAGTGTAGTGTATTGACC